CATGCCATACTCGCTGCTCGAATAACGTTCGCAGCGCCAGCCGGTATCGGAATACCAATTAGTAGCGGTGATAAAGATCGTGATCGTCCCGTAGGATCTCCTCGAGTTGGTACCTCGAATCGAATAACACCTCATCGCCCCTCTATCGATCTGGCATTCGAATACGCACCTTCTTTTTCTCCGTGAAACGGCGCGGTTCGTTTTCTCTTGTTCGTTTTCCTGTATATAGCTGAAAATTGAGACATCGCGCGATATCTATCATTCGATCTCCGAGCGGCGTGATCGACGGAGGACTCGCAAATAAATGATTCAGCAGCTTGGGCCTTATATAGATCCCGTCGGGCAGACGATTCGATCAGCCGTATGTATTATTCTTCGAGGAAGCGGCCGATCTTTAGTCACGGTCGCTGCTCGGAATCGTCTCGATTCTATTGCCTTTAAACGATCCCCGGGATCGTGTTAAGCGGCGAACAATGGAACGACCTATAGAAGATCACACTTTCCGAAACCTTTTCGCTGCCAGCCGCGGTCATTTGAACAATTGGAACCGTTTGCACGTGTTTTCCGTGCATCTCCCGGCGATCTCCGAAAATTCAGAGCTCTCCTTATGGTCGCGAACTACACAGAAGTCGGCGACTGGTACTGGTTTTACATGGCTTTTCAATTAGTCATTAATCCTTGCGCGGGGTTCAATGTAAATGGGACCGTTATACTGTCGTCCCGCATACGGGCCGAGTCTCTCTCCACGTGAAACAGATAAACTGCCCGGCAAGAATCGTTGCATCGAGCAATCGATTTTCCTCGGTTGTCCATTCGATCGCTCAACCTTTTTCTCAATCTTAACCACTTGTCTCGTTGTGCCGATCACGTTAGTCTCCCGATGAGAATTGCGAATGGAAGTTGACTAATGTAAACGTCCTTATATTCGTTTCAATTAAAAGTAATTGCTAATCACGAATTACTATCGATTATATTTAGAGTAAGCGCGGACGCGGGACAATCGTAGGATCGTTTTTCCCTTCGAATCGATTATTAACGATCAAAGGGTTCCGTTCAACTAGAATCAATTACAGAAGCAGTCGTGGCGCAAGAAGTTAAAGACTCGCTGGAAGACCAGTTACCTCTGTACCGCAATATAAAACAAATTTCTCAGTGGAATCGGCCACGTTGCAGGCTCCGTTGTAACGTCACGTTATAGGGGTGAAACGAGACTGTAAACTGGCGTTTGACCAAGGAAGCGGTAACCAGCCAGACCTCGCTTACATTTCAATTAGCCGGGAGATTATAAGCGCCGCGGCAGCGTACGATAATCGACGCGTCTCGATGAACAAACCGCCGCGTTACGTGCAGCTCGTCTGTTCGCCGGGGCTCGCTTGAACGCGCGACGCGCATGTTCACGCCTACCTATGCACCGGTGCACCGAATTTCCGAGTATTATCCTTTTGGCTAGCACGCGTCGCGCGTAGCTATGCGACCCGCTAGATTCGTTCCAGCTCCGCGTCTCATAACTTCTGCCTCGCGAATGCGTGAAAAATACAGCAACGTCGTCGGTGCTTGGCGCGGACAAAACGATTATATCACGCCGACCGCGATATCTCGATACACCATCGAGAAACTAGACGCGAAAACCGACCGCTTCTCTCGAATGGACGGCCTATCGGACGTTAATGCCTAATCCGAAATTTATTGCGAATACATAACCGATAATTACCGATACCAAACGAGCTATCCGCGGCCGCGCGAAACCAGAAGCACAGTTTACGATCCCGCGCGCGAGTGTCCCGGTAAGGACGCGCGCGCATCGGGCACCGTTTCATTGCTATTCAGAAAAGTTCTCCTCCGTTTCGTCGCCGACGGTAATTGCCGAGCTGGCATCCCGCGCAACATCGAAGGGGAAAGTAAAAAATCGAGCCGGGTTGCGTAACACCGGCATCGATGAAGAGTTGCGCGCGGTTGAGTTACGCGGACAGCGGGAAGAAGAAGAAGCGGTCGAAGAAGCGGTCGAAGAAGCGGTCGAAGAAGCGGAGGAAGAGAAGAAAAGGAGAGGAGGGTTTTAATGTTTCCGCGGTCTCCCCGGCCAGGCCGCAATTTGCATACGGATGGCTCGACCGCGGCCTACCGCTTCATTAAAAGCGTGTAGAAGACAGGCACCGGGAACTCGATGTTTGCGCGAGACGTTCCAGTTAGGATAGCCCTACGACGATGGAACATTCCGGTGCCACGTGATGAAAATTATAGTACGCCTAGGATATTTTCGTCCGTTTGTTTATGGACTCGCGCGGGATCCTCTTATAGCGCGCGCAAAACCGGACGCGTTTCACCGTTTCTGCTCGCAATTTTGTTACCATTTTACTGGCGTAATCGATCGCTATCGATCGATACAATCGTGCCGGGCTGTAACTATACCAGCCTGTGCAATTTCGTCTTCTCTATTACTGAATACTTCCTTGATTCACCGGCGTCGTAATCCTGTCCCATTATCGTCGTTGGTGGGACATTCCCCGATCGCGGTACGTTTCGAGGCGCGCCGAACTGGTTTCGCCGACCCGCGAAGATAACTTTAGACAACCGCGCGTTAATGTTACACCGGGAAGCGCTTTCCGCGACGCGCGAATAGCGCAAGTAGCGCAAAACGAGCTGGCTCCTCCTGTCTGGTGCGCCGCTTCGTCCTTGCGACGCGATACAGCAACACGGCGAGGTCGTTCTCTCGGTTCGATCGACATTTCTTGATCCTTCGTGATCCTTCGATTTTTTCGCAAAATAAAACAGCTATCGAAATTTCAGTCGATTCGCCGTTCGGTTGGCGCTTTGCTAAACCGATTTGTCGGTAATTTTCCAAAGAACCCATTACCTGTTCGATCCTAGTAAAAGAAGAAATTCGAAATAGGTTCGTTCGACTCGTCTATTAATTCTAGCATTAACTACTGGCAAACTTCCGCGAGATCTCGTCGAACTTAAACACGCCGGCCAAAGATTGCCTTTTCATTTCCCTTGAACACGTCCGTTTGTTTGTTTCCGCGAGTAGCCCTCGAACGGTGAAATGATATAACATTGCTGGAAAGTAGCCGCGCAATTAAGACGGCCTCCCGCGTTTACAGAAACTTTGATAGCATCTGGACGCTGAATTATCCATAAAACCAGCTCGAAGAAAGGTGTGCCCGTGTACCCGCCGCGCGAAAACGTAATTAAGTGCCCTATCCGGCGGCACGGCAGGCCGGATTTCGTGCCGAACGAAATTCCCGGAATCCGCTGCAGCGGCTCGAGACATCGAGAGTAATCCCCCCGGTAGCGGAATCGAACACGCGACCCGGCGCGGCGCGTTCCGAGGCCCACGTTCCGCGAAACACACGGGACACGCCGCGTTACCGGATCGACGCACGATTTTAGAACTGTTACTCGGGCACGTTATCGCGTCGCGGGCCAACCCGTGCGTCGTTCACGAAATTCCGAGCGCCGAAACGAGCCCAGATGGTAATCTACTCCGGAATAGAGATCACTGGGTTTCCAGGGCAAAAATGCGATCGGCCGTGCGCAGGAAACGTGCCCTGAACAGTCAGCCGGGTTCTTAGGAAAAAAGGGGATTGCCTTTATCGCTCGTAATGAGCGAGCTTAATTACTAGCCGAGTCTCCGCGGTTTTACGCCACCGCGTGCTTCGTTTCTCATCGTTATCTTGGCACCGTCGGGGTCAACCCTTCTGCGTCGCGTTATCCGGTTGGTCGCTTGACGCGACGGTCTCGTCGGGACGTTCGAAAAGAAAAGAGCGCCGAGTCCCGAAGAAGCACTGCCGAGTCTCGGATATCGGGTACTTGAAATTAGCACCGAGTACTCTGCGCGTTTAGTATCGAAAGATACACCCCTCGCGATCCCCTTCCGGCTGGTCTTCCTACTTTTTTCCAGCAGCTTCTTCTGCTTCTGGCTCTTTTCTTCTCTTTCGTCTCCCTCTTCCTCCTCCTCCTCCTCCTCCTCCTCCAGCTCTCCGGTTCTTCTCGTTGGGAAGCGCGTCGCGGTTACCCAGCTAACTGGCGCAACATCGCAGCAACAAGGAAGTCGCCGTTGTAGTCTCTGGGAATCACCGTTTTCAGGTAACGTCCGTTCGACGAGGTACGAAGCAGCTCGCGGTCGCGCGTCAGCTATCGAGCTCACGGAATGCACCTAGTATAGGTGGATTGAGTTGTGCGAACGCGTGCACCAGCTTCCGATAAGTAATCGCGGAAACGGATAACGATCGTGGTAAGAACACCGCGTAATTCCAGAGTGCTCGTTCGCGATTAATAGTTACAGCTGGCAACGAGTCGCGGCCGGACGTTTCTAGTTCGTCCGATTCAGCTACATTGTTTCGCGATACCGAATCGCGAGACTCGTCGCCTCTGTTCGTGGCCGCCGAGCTTATCTCGACGTAATTGAGATTTAGGTGGGAACAGGTCGCGGGTTTCTGCAAAGGATTATCGAGAACGCTATTATAACTCCATATAACCGTTGACTTGCGATTCCTCGTTGCAGATCGCGCGAAACAATTTACCGGTTTCCGAGAGAAATTTCTGTTCAGTGTGATTTCACGTTCGCTTCGGAACGAATAGATCCGAGTTTCGAGTTTCTTTCGCCTGGGGGTTACTGATTGGCAACAAAACCATAGAATCACGGTACTCGTTAGTTTTTATCGCGGCTCTTAACTGCTCCTCCAATCGGTAATCGTTAACGGACGCGTCGACAACAGTCCGCCGTTGAGTTTTAACGGCACTCCCGGCCGTCACGATTGAAAGAGACGTTCCGCCGAGAAATTTCACACCCCCTCGCGTTTTTCGCGCGGAGCGAGGCGCACACAACGGTGTCCTTCTCCGAGGAAACTATTCCGCCGGGCGGCCTTCGGCTTACGTAAACGAAGTGTGCGGCGCGGTCTTCCAGCGAGTCGTACCTTCCACGTTCGCGTTCGCGTTTACGATTTCGCGGCGCGCGCCAAGTAATTATGACCGCGCGAAGTTTGTTCGCACTCTCTACCCACCTCGTCGGTCGTCGCGTTGCGCAGGATCCACGGAGGCGGTCGTCTCGAGTTGCAGGCTGATTCGTTCGATGATCCGCCCAGGAAGAACTGGCCACCCGTCGCACCTCGAGAGTGCACATCCACCGAGCGCGGGGAAACGCGTCTTCTCTTCGAGTGGAACAACCGTCGTGCACCGAAACGCGCGGAAATCGAGGGAATTTCCAGAGGAACCGAGCTTTTCGACAGCGAACGCGCGACCACCGGCTCTCGAACTTTGATCCTTTTCCGGGCTCGAACACGCGTCCGCGTTTAACGAGTTCACCGACTCCGTGAATCGCGATCTGCTATCAGAATGAAGGCTTTTCTTAAGGCCGTCTCGTACTTATGTCGCTGCCCCCACCTACGGGGCAACGCGCGGCGAGCTCTCCTCAAGTTCTTGAGCGTTCGAGCCCGAACAACTATGCCCCCCTCTGAACATAGAAAAGGAAATACGTGCCAGGACAGACGACACACTTTCGTTCGTCGGTCCGTCGGTTCGTCGGCTCGTCGGCTCGTCGGCTCGTCGTTTCGTTTCGTTTCGTTTCGTTTCGTTTCGTTTCGTTTCGTCTCGTCTAGTCTAGTCTCGTCTAGTCTCGTCTAGTCTCGTCTAGTCTCGTCTCGTTGTTTCTTTCGTCGGCTAACTCTCTCGCCCGTTGCTTCCTCGCGTTCGCGACAACTTTTCCTTCCACCGGAATGATCACCGTGGCGATCTTCTTCGGATTATCTTCTTCTTCAGCCGCCCGGTATTGTAATTCACCGACGTTACGAGTCCGCGTTTTATTGTGCAAGAAGCTCTAACAAGATCGTATATTCCCTTCGGAATAAGGCATTAGAGTCGACTTAAGCTGTGTAATAGAGTAAATGCTACACCGATAGAGCGTCGTTTATAATAATTGTAGTTAGTTTATCGTTAACCGTTCGTTTATCCGTAATAATCGCAGTTACTCGTCGATGGAACGCGTTACGTGTGTAATTAACCTGTTGAATCCGTTTCGCGATCGTCGTTTTCTCGCAAGTTCGAGCGACGCGCGGAAAGTGAACGCACCGCCGCGTCGGCCGAGCTTAATCCTTGGACGATCGGGATCCCTGTACGATCGACTTTAACGACAAAAACGCTGCGTCGTGGGACACATTCCGCGTGACAAAGGGGACGCTTAGCTCGAGTGAATCCCAAGAAAGTCGGTGTGTTTGTTCCGCGACCGTGGCTAAACAGTATTCGAATCCCGTCCGCACGCACAATAGGGCAGTTTTTGCGAATCGGTCGCGCGCGGGCGACTGATCCGCGATCAATGGACAGAATTCAATCAGCCGATTTTTTCCCCCGATCACAGACCTCGCAAAACACCGTCAGCTCGTTTTTGCCAGAGTGTCGCCGAACCGCTGGCTCCCGCGGGAGTTACGGTCGACGTCGGACCGTTTAACTGTTAACCGGCGATCGGGGATCATTGAATCCGCTCGATTCCGGTGGCGTTCGGACGTCGCAATTTCCAATGGCGTTCAACAAATATTAAGCTTCGAGTCATCTCGCGAGTGTCCTTCCGATCGGTTCGCCACGCTAGCGTCGCTCGAGCTTTCGATCCTGGTGTTACTCGACCCGTCTTTTCGCCAGCCATCGAAGCGAACGATAAACGAACCAGCTTCCCATCGTTGTTCCCTTGAATTTCCTCTCGCCCCGATCGATCGCGTTACGCACGATCCACCGATACTCTTCCTTTCCCCGAGGACTCGGGCCGTGTGATCCGCTGGCAAGCCGGCTAGGCGCAACATGCGTGTCGCGACCAATTGGACGTCTGTTCGCGTGAGACGATTATTTAGCTGCCCCCGTGACGCCGGATCGAGCGAGTTTCAGCGAAATGGAACAATGTTGCGCGGCAACGCTTTCTAAATGCGCTTAATCTTCCTTTCGAGCACGTCGAGCGGCCAAGACGGTCGCTTTTTACCGAGGACAATTGCCGGGAGAGCGACTCGTTAAACATTCATGAGGGCGGCCAGCTAGGATTTTGCATATTACGGCGAGCCACTAACGATGATGATGATGACACGACGATAATGAACCGCGTATCGATTTCTTCGGTTAGCCAACCGCGATCGCCTTCGCTCTTGGTTTTACGGTCGGCAAATGGAAACCGGGAGAAATCTTTTTCATTCGAATCTCGGTCTCGTTTTTAGTTTCGTTGCCAGTTTCACAGTCGACGCCGCTGTCCGTTCGTTCGAATGGGTTTTCCGTCGAGTAACGATGTTTCCGAATCGATCGCCGCCGGTAGCGTCCGAGTTTCAGGAAAAGCCGAGGGACTCTCGGTCTTCCTCGAGCGTGAAGCTTCATGGGTTGATCCTGGCTTTATTTCTTTGACCCACGCCACTTAGAACGGAATGCGCCACCGCTACGATCCCGCTGAACGTCGAACGACAGATGCCGATCGCAATACCGCGACAACATTCCGCTCCATATCTGCGATCTTCTCGGGACGCGATTTTTGAATCGATCGCCTACGATCCCGGATAATGCCGCTTAACCATTGCCACGATTCGTATCGGCCGTAATACGCTCGTTTTTCACTCGGAATGCCTCCAAGTTCCCTTTTGCTCTGCAACCTGTCAACCTCACCGCGTCGACGTCGCGGTTCCGCTTTTGCCGGTGAATCGCAACGTTCGATCGCTTCGCAGCGAGGCTTCTCCTCTTCTCCAAACAAATTATACCTGGCATGAATGAAGTTTCTTCTCTTCCGCGCGCGTTACGCCAGCCATGAATCAAGTTCCCCGGAGGATTTCAGAAACTTCTTCGATGGCTGTTCTCGTTAAAGGGACGAGTTCTCTTCTTTCGCCTCGAATTGCTCTCTTTCGCCTGCTTCGGTACGCGGGTAGAGTAAAATGCGCAGTGTTGCACTGCAGAAACTGTGACGCGGAAAAGTACTTTAAAGGGTTCATTCCTGGAACGCGCGGCTGTCACTTTCTTAACCCTTCGGCGGCGAAACTAATCGACCGATTTCATCCTTTTTAACGCAACTATTACCAACGAATAAACGCGACGCGTTTTCCGTCGACGCGCTCGACAAAAGAAACACTGGTAAATGTATAAATGCTTAATTCTTAATGCTTAATTCACTTAGCATTTTATAATACCCTGGAATTACGAGCGAGTATAATTAACGCCTGAGCCCGTAGCCGGTACTGGCTTTCATGGTACGCACCGTGCGCGTCCATTAAACGACAGGCGATGATCGATCACCGCGGCCGAAGTAACGAAAGCATTGCGCGAAACTTTTCCCTTTCGAAACCTCGTTCCCCTCCGATTACCCGGCGAAGTTTATTACCCTTTTTCCCGGCGCGCGGTATGCAAATGGCTCGCGCGGGAGAGAGGTCGTATTATTCGGCTCGGCTCGCGGTCTCGTCGAAAGGGATAAGAACGGGAGAATGCGTTTAACGTGTGACTGACGGTTCGTGGCTCGCGCGCGTGTTCCCTTTCGCGTCGTTTTATTCACCGTTTTCTCGGTGAGAAGCCGTGTTTACATCGCGTCCGCGAGATTAACAGCATTAGCCGTGTCGACGCGCGGCCTTTAATTACCGGTTTCGAGTGTAATTGACAGCGGCGCGGTCGCTAATCGATTTTCGCCGGTTGCTTGTTTAATCCCGACGAACGAGCGCACTCGCGCGACACGAACGTCCCGGCGGAAGACGAATTACCCGACAGCTGCCACCGTTTTAGATTTCGCGCGGAGATTGCGCGGCAGCCTGTCATTTTCTCGATAATGGGAAACGTTAATTAATAACGTCGCGTGCGCGCGATCAGCCGCGACACCTATCGATAAATCTGTATTCCGCGGGCGCACGAACGTCGCTCGTTCGCCGGGAACAAGCGTTTATCAGCGGCCCCTTTATCTGCTTCCCGCGGCGTCGTCGAACGGGACACCGTCGCGCCGAAACGGAAGCGAATCGTGAAACGCCGAGCGGGTCCTGTCCGGCGGACAAGAAAGATTTCTTTCGCCCGTCCTGTCGGCCCTGTTTCCGTGTAGATCACCGAGTTCCATTAACAGGTGACTCTCCGGTCCGTATCAATTAGAAGATTAAACGATCCGGTGCGGCGAGCCGCGTTTACGAGTCGCCGGTCCCCGGTTTTATAGAAATTTACGATTGCGCGACCGCGCCGTTGACGCGGCGCAAAGAAGCCGGCCGGAAGTGCTCAAAGTTTTAGGGTGAAAATACGAGCCGGCCGCGCTCCGTTTTTTCAGCCGACTCCTAAAAGGATAACAGGGGGACAGTTAAGATAGGATCGATATAAATTGCCGTTTACGGATGAAAGCGCCGCGCGTATTCTATGGACACGGTAATGATACGAGAAGCGCTGGCTAACATTAGAATTAGTCTTTACGACAAATAAGACGGCCGCCAGCAATGCGAGTAAGATGTTAATTGGACCAGTCTCGGTGACGTTTCGCTTCCTGCTGCGGCTGCCTGTAGCCCGCGCGCGCTTCGGGCCCGGAGCGCCGACGAGCTTTTGTGGGAATCTTCCGGCTTCCACGGGTCGACCCGAATCGCCGTGCGAAACCACGGCCAACGGAGATACTCTGTTCAACGTCGAGGAAAGAATGGGGCCGCCTAAATCAGT